TAGTAAGACAAAAATAAAGCCAGCTAAATGGTTTCTTTATGTCAACTGGGTACAAACACTTTCTCAGATTTGCATGGCATTGACTTAAATTCTTGTGGAAGAAAATGTCTAGATTGGTGGAGTTGTATTAAAAACATCATAATTCTGAGAGTGTGTTTTGTCCTTATTGGTTCCTTTATGTATTATTAAACATAGAGAAGTGAATGAAAATGAAGCATACAAGGATTACTGATTTTATAATAAGTCAATTGCATATCTTATCTGACTAAGCAAAGTCAGGATAGTGCACCTCATAAAATTGAATGAAAATGCTCCCCAAGAGCAGGCACTTTGATTTGTGTCCTCAGCACCTAGAACAGTTTCTGGCACATAGTAGTAAATAGAAATAATTATTTATTGAACTAATAAATGGATGGATAGTGAAATCAGTTATACTTTGAGATGTCCATAGAAGATCATAGGAGGGGCTGTGGAAGCCTGAAGCAAGGATGGCTAATGAGATAGCTGATGAACATACAAAATACAAGGAACTGAAATGAGCATCAAGAAGGTTTGTTTTTTTAAGACTAAAATCCCTGGCCGGGCACAGTGGCTCATGCCTGTAATCCCAGCACTTCGGGAGGCCAAGGCAGGCAGATCATGAGGTCAGAGGATTGAGACCATCCTGGGTAACTTGGTGAAACCTCATCTCTACTAAGAATACAAAAGATTAGCCAGGTGCGGTGGCACATGGCTGTAGTCCTAGCTACTGGGGAGGCTGAGGCAGGAGAATCACTTGAAGCCGGGAGGCAGAGGTTGCAGCGAGCCGAGATCGCACCACTATACTCCAGTCTGGGTGACAGAGCAAGACTCTGTCTCAAAATAACAACAACAACAACAACAAAAAACTAAAAGCCCTGCCCTCAAAGGAATGTCCCTTAAATATTTCTGAAAGAAAGATATATTCAAGCAAGGGTAACAGAAGTCCTTTAATCAAGAGATGCTTGAGTCACCTTGATTAATCTAATCCTGTAGATAGAGCTTGCTTTATTTATTTTTTTTAAGGCCCTGTCTTTTACATCCAAGTGATTTCTTAAGGTTGAAGGCAGGTTTCTCCCTTGTCTAGGCAGATCTCACTGCTGCAATCTCACAACTGGAATCCCAGCAATGTCCTTTAGCGTTTCCTTTGGCATGGATCAAGTTCCTTCTTGCCATTCTACCCACTCATGATATAACTTCCAGTAACATCAGCTATTTTGAAGAATACCCAATTCTGTCATCTTGAAGAATACCCAATTCTGGCCAAGTTTGTTGTGAGAAGATGCTACAGAAGTGATCCTTATTTATTTGTTTTTCCATAATCTGAATCGACTTTGATCCACTTTCATGAAGGCTTCCTGTTTCCCCCAAGCATGGGTAGTTCTTACAGGTTTCTGTTGTATATTGAACATGCATCCTTCATGACAATTAGTATATTACAGCATAATTGACATGTTAGGATTCTCTAGAGGAACAGAATTAATAGGATAGACGTGTATATGAAAGGGATTTTATTAAGGCGTATTGACTCACATAATTATAAGGTAAAATCCCACAAGAGGCCATGTGCAAGCTGAGGAGCCAGGAAGCCAGTATGAGTCTCAAAACCTCAAAAGTAAGGAAGCTGGCTAGGCATGGTGGTTCATGCCTGTAATCCCATCACTTTGGGAGGCCAAGGCAGGCTGATCACCTGAGGTCAGGAGTTCAAGACCATCCTGACCAAAATGGTGAAATCCCATCTTTACTAAAAATACAAAAATTAGCCGGGTGTGGTGGCATGCACCTGTAATCCCAGCTACTCGGGAGGCTGAGGTGGGAGAATCACTTGAATTAAGGAGGCAGAGGTTGCAGTGAACCAAGATCATGTCACTGCACTCCAGCCTGGGTGACAAGAGTGAAACTCCATCTCAAAAAAAAAAAAAAAAAGGGAAAAAAAAAGTAGGAAAGCTGACAGTGCAGCCTTCAGTTTGTGGCTGAAGGCCTGAAAGCCTTTGGCAAACCCACTGGTAAATCCAAGACTCAAAAAGTTGAAGAACTTGGAGTCTGATGTTGAAGGACAGGAAGCATCCAGCACAGGAGAAAGATGGAGGCCGGAAGACACAGCAAGTCAGCACCCTCCACCTTCTACCTGTTTTTTCTAGCTGTGCTGGCTACTGTTTAGACGGTGTCCACCCACACTGTGAGTGGTTCTTCCTGAGGGTGCCTCTTTTTCTCCCAGTCCACTGACTCAAATGTTAATCTTTTCTGGCAACACCCAGAAACATCCAGATACACCCAGAAATAATACTTTGCATCCTTCAATCCAATCAAGTTGACACTGAATATTAACCATCACAATTGGTCGCGTCTTCCTTCCCATAGATGCAAACTCCTTGAAGAAAGAGTGTGTCTCCATGTCTATTATAACCTGACACAATTGGTGCTTAGTAAATATTCATTATGGTAGAGATTGGTCTGACTTACTAGCTACAAGGAGGCTTTATGAACCTCAATATGCAAGTCAGTATTTTGAGAGAAGCTTGGATATGTCCAACTCATCCTTAACCCATTCCCCGTTTAGAAAACAAATGTGCAGCTCACTGCCAGGGCAGTATTCTTAGGGCAAATGGGAAATGGGTTAAGAAAATATATGTTAACCAGGACTAATATTTAATTTTATGGTTTTCTGAAATATTTCAAACATTTTGAAAACTAAATCATGAATATAAATATTTTATTTTATGTACAAATAATCTACAATAAAGATAAAGTTATGTTTGAAATTGTAGCACACTACTTAAAAAGGAGGAGATTCAGGAAGATGGAAGCATAGCACACTCTCCTGGCTCACTTGTGTATCAAAAACTATATAAATAAGCTCCACTCACTTGTTTCTTCATGTACAACTTGCAAGATTTTTCCACCTTTTTCTCCCACCTTTCCTCTCCCTCTCTCCCTCCCTCTTAGTTTTAAAGGGTGTTTTTTTTTCTGATTACAAAAGGAATAAATGCCCAGTGAAATAAATTCAGTGATCATCAAAACATAAAAGAAATTCAGAACTTATCCCTGGTTTCACCACCTAAAGACAATCACTATTATAGCCTAGTGTAAGTTCTTCCAGACTATTTTCTATGCAAATGCCCACCAAGTTGAACAAATGTCTGGAACTCTTAGCAAATAGCAAGGACTCAAAAAAAAAGGTGGCTGTTGGCCAGATGCATTGGCTCACACCTGTAATCCCAGTACTTTGGGAAGCTGAGGCAAGTGGATCACTTGAGGTCAGGAGTTTGTGATCAACCTGGCCAATATGGTGAAACCCTGTCTCTACTAAAAACACAAAAGTTAGCTGGGCATGGTGGCACATGCTTGTAGCCCAGCTACTCGGCAGGCTCAGGCATGAGAATCCTTTGAACCCAGGAGGTGGAGGTAACCTGCAGTAAGCCGAGATGACACCACTGCACTGCAGCCTGGGTGACAGAGCAAGACTCCCTCTGAAAACAAAAACAAAAACAAAAAAAAACCCCAGTGTTAATAGCCAACTTTTTTTTTGAGACGGAGTCTTGCTTTGTTGAGGTGCTGAGATTACAGGCACCTCCCGAAGTGCTGGGATTACAGGCGTGAGCCACCATGCTCAGCCAACACTGATTTATTTTTTAACCAATCTTTTGGACTTATAATTTTCTAAATACATTTTCTTTCAAAATGTATATGATCATTTGAATGAATGCAATGTATATAATGATTCCTCTATTAATGGATAATGAGCTTTATTTTATACTTTTCTCTCTTATAAACTATGTAGTAAACACCCTTATTCCTACAGATGGGCACATGTCTGTTTTTCCTATGAATCAGACAGACTTGTGCATAAATTATTCCTGCAGTTTGATCTCTGATTTATTACTAAAACTTTCTGTGCATTAGTTTTCTCAATTGTAACGGTTGGTAATAATATCTGTTTGCGGAGTTGTCATAAGGATTAAATACTTATGTATATAGAGTGGCACTACAGAGCCTGGCTCAGAGGTAGAATTCAATAAATGATTATTTTTCTTTAAAATAATTTACTAGAAATAGACTAACTGGCTCAAGGTTAAGCACAATCTAAAAGCTATTTACAAATGGACATCCAGAAAAATTATACCAATTTCTACTGCTATTATCAGTAGGGTTGGAGATTGTCCATTTACCATTTCCTTCAGAACTCTGGGTACTATTGGTTTTTTTTAAATTTTTGTCAATTTTATAGGTGAGAAGTGCTTTCTTGTTTTTTATTTGCATATATTTTATTAGCTGGAAATGACCTATTCTTATGCATCTATTAGGTATTTATTTCTCTCATGAATTGTCTATTCAAATCAATTGCACATCTTTCTACCAAGTTCTTTAAAAAATTTAAAAGAGTAAACTTTAAGAGCACCCTCTAATAACATCATAACTTTGAAGATCTTGTTTTCAGGCCAGGAGCTGTGGCTTATGCCTGTAATTCCACCACTTTGGGAGGCCAAGATAGGCAGATCAGTTGAGGCCAGGACTTTGAGACCAGCCTGACCACCATGGCAAAACCCCATCTCTACTAAAAATACAAAAACTAGCCAGGCATGGTGGTACACACCTGTAATCCCAGCTACTAAGAGAGTCTAAATATCCAAACTTTAGAATTGTTGTTCCCGAATTCAAGTTAAGTAAAATGTATTGCCTTGTGTTACATAATTATTAGCTTTTAAGCCAGGCCTTCTCAACATCAGTCTATTAACGTCTTGGACTGGTTAATTCTTTGTCATAGGAGGATTTCCTGTCCATTGTGGAATGTTTAACAGCATGCATGGCCTCTATTGAATGTCTAAAGACATTGGCAAACGTCCTATCAGGGGCAAAATCACCCCTAGTTGAGAAACACTTCTTTAAGCTAGTCATTGTTGGCTGGTACCTTCGTTCACTTAGTGCTGCTATAACACCCACAGACTGGGTAATTTCTAATTAACAAAAATTTATTGGCTCACAGTTTTGAAGGCTGGAAAGTCCAATATCAAGATACTAGCATCTGGTGAGGGTCTGCTTCCTGTGTCAGCTTATGGTGGAAAGTGAGAGGCTGTAGAAAGAGAAAGAGAGAGCCCAGTTAAAAGACTTTTTAGTAAAGCATTAAACCTACTCATGAAGGTGGAGCCCCCATGGCCTAATCTTAAAGGCAGCCCCACCTCCTAATGCTGTTACAATGGCAGGTACATTTCATTTTTTTTCTCTTATTATTATTATTATTAGACAGAGTCTCAGTCAATCACCCAGGCTGGAGTGCAGTGACATGACCTTAGCTCACTGCAACCTTCACCTCCCAGGTTCAAGTGATTCTCGTGCCTCATCCTCCCAAGTAGCTGGGATTACAGGCATGCACCACCACATCTGGCTAATTTTTGTATTTTTAGTAGTAAAGAGAGGGTCTTGCCAGATTGGCCAGGCTGGTCTCAAACTCCTGGCCTCAAGTCAACCACCTGCCTTGGCCTCACAAAGTGCTAGGATTACAGGTGTGAGCTACTGTGCCTGGTCAGTACTTTGTATTACGTTTTTAAAAAACAACTTGTATGACAATTTGGTAATATCTCTGCTATTCAAAACTCATGCTGAAATTTAATTGCCATTTGTGACAGATGGAGAGAGGTGAGACCTTCGAGTGGTGATTGGGTCACGAGGGCAGAGCTCTCATGAATGGATTAAAGCTATTATTGAGATGTAGGTAGGTTATCTTGAGAGAGAGCTCCAGGCAAAAGGACTAAGTGTGGACCCTATTTTACCTTATTTTATTTTATTTTTTTGTTTCATTTATCTTTCTGTCTGGTGCACTCACTTGCTACGCAATGCCTTCTGCCATGGGTTGACCTTCATCAGACATCGGTGCCATATTCTTGGACTTCTTAGCCTCTAGAACTGTGAACCAAATAATCTTCTGTTCTTTATAAATTACCCAATCTGTGGTATCCTGTTATAGCTACAGAAAATTGACTAAAACAACATTTTTTTTCTTTTAATTTCAAGCTAAAACTATTGTAGTCATGCTCTTTGACACAGAACTTTGATGTCTTACTTACTCGTCATCTTGAATTCAGAACTAGGTCAAAATGACCTCTTGGTCAGAAGGTATACCTGAGCCCACCTCTATGGAGGTGAACTGGCTTCTTTTATTTCATTGTTGGGCTACTCAGTGATCATAAAAAGGAAGCCAGTTGTAACGCCATCTCATTAGAGTTGATCATTACAGCATTTTGCTGCGCACTTTCATAGTTACACTTAAAACACTTGGCAAAATATGTAACCTTGAACTCAATACCCCTTAATACTTACCAAAAGCTTGACTGAGATTAAAAAAAAAAAAACCACAAAACTATTTTTGTAGAACTGCCTGTTGGATAAATAGCCTACCCATTTCTCTCCATGTCATTGAATTTATCCCTATAAAAAGATAGATACTCAGAAAAGTTGTTACTTCAGCTCTAATATGTGGCCTACCTGCCTGCATCTGATTCATTTATTCAACAAATATCTTCTTCAGGCACAGTGCTCTGTGCTAGGGATGTAGCAATAAAGAAAAAACAAATTTCTGACACTCAGGGAGTTTGTATTCCATGAGGGTGTACTAACTAGTTATTGCTATATAACAAACCACCTCCAAAGGAAGTATCCTTAAAAAAAAACACTCACTATTAGAATTCTTAAAACATAAGGGGCAGGTTAGGTCAATCAGAGAGACTAGGGCAACTCTGATGACTTAGCACTGCTCCATGTATTGGTCATTGCCTAGCAACCTAGACCAGCCTTGTTTTCATTGCAATGGCCCAGAAGGAGAGAGTAAGACTGACTGTGCAAGTGCTTTTCAAGCTTTGCCTGCATCACAGCGGCTAATGTGTTATTGGCCCAAGCAAGTCACATGACTGAATGCAGCATCAAAGAGTGAGGCGGAATGTCCCCCTCACAATAGGGGAATGCTGCAAAGTTAAATGACCAACTATCGAGAGAGGTAAAAGAATGGAATCAATGCAGAAGTTATTACAGAGGGAGACAGAAAACAAGCAAATAAGTAGTGATAAGTACTGTAAGAAATAATCAAGCAGAGTAGGAAAAGAATAGTAAGGAGTAGAGGAGGGATAGTGGGATGGTGTTATTTTTGATATGCTTAAGGAAAGCTGCTTTGATTAGAAGACGTTTGAAGAGAGACCTCAATGTGAAGAGGAATCATTTGGGGGAATTTGAGGAATACAAGCTAAAAGAAACAAAATAGAAAAATAATGAAGTAAGAGAATAAACAAACAAGAGTGAAAAGACAACCTAGCAGGAAACTATGAACTTGTATTCCCATCAACTCATATGGTTGCCTGACCACTGCTATGCATTTGTTAAATGCATTCACAGGATTGAAGAGAGACACTAACTTCATTTTGCAGCTCACATTGTATACAGACCGGCTAGTCTGATGATGAGGTATCAGTATTTACGGCTGAGGCAGTCATCAGATTCTTTTCATTCCGAATGCATTGATGAATTTTATGTCCTTAGAGAAAATGTCAGTTTATTTGAGCACAGCCACTAAAGGAGAAACTCACATTCTGTCCTTCCTCGGAGACCAGCTTAAATGTCTGAATCAGCCCGTGAGTAGAATTAAAGCTTCTTTGTTTAGGAATTGGTCCATTAAGTGTATAATGATGAAGAAAAAAACAAAGTCAAACTTGTATTCAATACCACACAGCTGTAATCAACAGAGTCTTCCTTAAAAGGAGATGAAAAGCAAGAAAAGCTTTCGTATGCCATCATTAACATTCAAATGGAAGAGAAACCAATTCAGTAGTATAAATATGTGGTTAAAAATGTCATAAGCTAACATTACTAAGTTTGATTTTCAAATCTGAAGTTTAGTTGAAAGGATGTTTAGGATTCACTATAGAATACGTAATTGATTTACAGTCACTGTCACTTAAAATGAAAGTTTGCTTTTAAAACCAATGATCACAGTAGTTAAATTTGAATACCAATTTGGAAGGATTTTATATAAAAAATCCCACTAGATGGTGCTCTTTTAGCTTTCTGGAAGGGAAAGTTGAAGATATTTGAATCTCCAGCTGATGCCCAAATCAGCTAATTTAATGTTAATGAAACCGAACCGGTGCATATGACTAAGAATTTCCTTGGATATAAAAAGCAGAGTGTATAATCTAAGAACAGTATAAGTGTGATAATTAACAGAGACAACCCCCCCCTTTTTTTTTTTTGAGAAGGAGTTTCGCTCTTGTTGCCCAGGCTGGAGTGCAATGGCACAATGTCGGATCACTGCAACCTCCGCCTCACAGGTTCAAGCAATTCCCCTGCCTCAGCCTCCTGAGTAGCTGAGATTACAAGCATGTGCCACCAAGCCTGGCTAATTTTTGTATTTTTAGTAAAGACGGGGTTTCACAATGTCAGCCAGGCTTGTCTGGAACTCCTGACCTCAGGTGATCCGCCTCCCAAAGTGCCAGGTTATGGATGTGAGCCACCATGATTTCTTTCAAAGAAGAGATTTTGGGAACATTATGTCAGGGCTCTTTGGAAAGTAAGGTTTTATGAAATATGAACATTGGAAAACTTTAGACATTATCAGGTTTTATTTTGTAATTGTTGAACTATATAATTTAATTAGAAACACACTACATGAGGCTTAAATGTACCAATAGCCTTTTCTGTAATTACAAATCTGTCCTCTATCTGTGATACTGTATGTGAATTGTCTCTATGTAAAGTACTTAAGCTAGCTTTCCATGATGTAGAAAATATTATTCATTAATAAGTACAGGATCATATTACAACTTCCACAGCACATGGCTGCGTGTACATGTGCATCTATACTGGGGAACAGGGGATTTGTTGTTTTCTTATAACCTCACATATATGTTTATGATGTCAGTAATGGTATCTCTTATCAGTAACTACATAAACTTACAGAACACTCATATATAGTTTATAAAACAGCTCTTTAAAGACTAATATATTTCTGGGCAAATAGTTATTAAATAAAGAATGTTGGCCGGGCACAGTGGCTCACACCTGTAATCCCAACACTTTGGGAGGCTGAGGCCAGGGGATCGCCTGAGGTCAGGAGTTCGAGACCAGCCTGGCTTATGTGAAACCAGCCTGGCTGTAGTGCAATGGCATGATCTTAGCTCACCCCAACCTTTGCCTCGCAGGTTTAAGGAAATCTCCTGCCTCAGCCTTCTGAGTAGCTGGGATTACAGGCATGTGCCACCAAACCTGGCTAATTTTGTATTTTTATTAGAATCAGAGTTTCTCCATATTGGTCAGGCTGTTCTCAAACTTTCAACCTCAGGTGATCAGCCTGTCTCGGCCTCCTAAAGTGCTGAGATTACAGGCATGAGCCACCGCACCTGGGCCATTTTCTGAGTTTTTATCTCTCTTGACATCCTACAATTTTGATATTGCTGACCACCCTTTCTTCCTATAAGTCCTCTTGGATTTCTACATCAGCCCACTCCAGTTATACTGGCTTCTATTGTAGGTCTCTCTTCTCAAGTTCATTTGGTTCCTCCCTAAATGAGATGGTTTCTTAACAGTTCAATCCTTATTCTTCTGCTTTGTTTTTTTTTTTTTTTTTTTTTTTTTTTTTTTGCAATTCTTTACTCCAAAGTGTCATCCATACATGTACATTGAGTATCAATGGTTGCTTCTCTGTAGGGAGCCTCAAGCATTCATGTCTTATTCTAGACGCTCACTGGAAACCCATTCCCTAATTTCTAATTAAAAGTAGAAATTTCCTCCTGAATTACTGTTTACACTCCGTCCGAAATATTTTCCCCTAGATTTCAGATCTCATGGACTCTCCCCCAAACTAAACTCTTTATCATCTCCAATAAAACCAGTCTTGTTTTCATGTTTCAGTTGCTATAAATGACACAATCTTGGAATCATTATATTTACCTCATCTACCAATTTCGAAGGCTATACATTCCATGTTTATGACCTCCATCACATCTATGTCTTTCTATTCATTTGTATTGCTTTGGTCTAGTTGAGATCTATTATTAACTCCTGCCTAAATCTCCATAATGGATTTTTCACTGCTCTTTAACTCTGGGACTTTCCCACCCACCCCATCCTGGTCAATGCTTCCTACCTGTATGTTTTATTTTACTTGCATTAACAGATAAGTAGGGGAGGGTAGACGAGGCAGAGTGACAGTGGCTGGCCTTAGAACTGCACATTGAGGTGTGGTCCAGGCTTTGGGGAAGGGCTTAACCGAAGTAGCAACACACACACAGTCACACAGCTTCAGTCAATGGTTCACAAAGGAGGAAAAGAAATCAGAGGAAGGAAATCAAGATCACAGTCAATATTCAAAAGTCCAGAGAGGAAGATAGTTCATTTCTGGGAGGTCTTTCACATCCTGTCTAAATTAAAATTGGCTCACAAATGGAGAGGTAGTGCTGAACAAACAAGGGGGGCCGGTGGTATCAGTGGATTCTGCTCAGAATGAGCTACCTAACCTCACTGCTCCTGTGCCACAGGACAATTAAGAGCAGACTCTCAGCACAGCCTAGCTTTTGCATCCTTCACCTGGACCTACTTCACACTTCACTGCTTGACCCGCTCTTAATTATCTAAACCTTTGACCCTTGGTCTCATTACCTATTTAAAGACTGGCAGTTGCTGCCTGTCCTGACACTTAAGAAGCTCTCTGGCCCTGAGCCTGGCTTCCCTCCTCACTCATAATTTGCATTTACTCCCTTTGATGATATGGCTTCCCTCTCTCAGCTAAATATCTCCTTGCTACAGACTCAGCTGCAGGCCCCAACTCCCCTTTCTATAGATAGAGGTATGTACAGAATTGTTAATTGATACATAATTAGGTAGTGAAAAGGTAAAGAGAGAATTCTAAGGTATTGAGGAGGCAGTTACTACAGAAAGCAGATACAACCCCAAGGGTTGAGTGAGCAAAGGGACAGGCTTGGAAATTTAGAAGAGGAGCCCTCAAACCGAAACTCAGATTTCTGAGGAGAGTGGATGCTTGGCTGGTCCCTGTGTCTCTGTGTTCTGAGATGAAATCTCCTAAGGATGGGGAATAATGAGGCTGGTTCTGACTGTTTTAAGACAGTGAGGTAATGCTGATTCCGCAAGTGTTGGGAAAAAAATGCAAGCTAGATTAAGGTGCTGCTAAAGTCATATAGCAGAGCATTACTGCTGGCTATTTGAAACTGAGAGATCAGGGAAGTCCTCACCTCTATGATTAGGTGATATGTGAGCACAAAGCGGAATAACAAGGAATCAGCTTTTAATAACAGCCATGTAAAAACCTGAGATGGACATCAGTATTTGGGACCCTCTTTTTCTGAGCAGAGCTCAGCTGTGAGGTTTTTTTTTTTTTTTTTTTTTTTTTTCAGGCGGAGTCTCGCTCTGTCGCCAGGCTGGAGTGTGGTAACGCGATCTCGGCTCACTGCAACCTTCGCCTCCCAGGTTTAAGCAATTCTCCTGCCTCAGTCTCCCAAGTAGCTGGAATTACAGGTATCTGCCACCACGCCCAGTTAATTTTTTGTATTTTTAGTAGAGATACGGTCTCACCATGTTGGCCAGGATGGTCTCAATCTCTTGATCTCGTGATCCACCTGCCTTGGACTCCCAGAGTACTGGGATTATAGGCATGAGCCACCATGCCCAGACTGTTTTAAGTATTTAGAATCAGAGGAAGGTCCTTGAGATCCCTTCTTGTACCTTCCTCTTTCTGGTATTTTACTGGGATCACAGCATAATTGATATTTGAATACATGTTGGTAAGGCACCACATTCAGATACTTTTCTTTCTTTAACATTTTTACCAAGCACCCTGTGCAGGGATATTAAGTTATCATGTAGAAGCTGTTAACTCTCAGGCTTATCTCATCTTCTGGGGCACCTCCTGGTTGACTTCGACTCAGCAGACCCTTTAAAAGTTATTTTAAAAATAATTATAGTTTGATAGAAAGTGTCAAAAAATGTATATGGAGGTCCCATGTACCCTTCACCCCAGTTTTCCTCAATGGTAACATCTTATGTAACTATAATGCAGTATCACACTCAGAAAATGAAGATATTAGGGCCAGGTGCGGTGGCTCACACCTGTAATCCTAGTACTTTGGGAGGCCAAGGCAGGCAGATCATCTGAGGTTGGGAGTTCGAGACCAGCCTGACTGACATGGTGAAACCCCGTCTCTACTAAAAATACAAAATTAGCCAGGTGTGGTGGTGCGTGCCTGCAATCCCAGCTACTCTGGAGGCTGAGGCAGGAGAATCGCTTGAACCCAGGAGGCAGAGGTTGCGGTGAGCCGTGATTGTGCCATTGCACTCCAGCCTGGGCAACAAAAGTGAAACTCTGTCTTTAAAAAAAAAAAAAAGCAAGAAAAGAAAGTACTATCCATGGAGCTTATTCACATTTCTCCACTTTTATTTGCACTACAGGTGTGTGTGTAGTATTATGCAATTTTATGTAACCACTGCCACAACTGAGATATAAAAGTGTATTATGAATGTAAGGCTCCTTCCTGCTATCCGTATGTAGCCACACCTATCCATCCTACTCATTCCTAACCTTTGGCAAGAACTAATTTGTTTTCCATCTCTATAATTTTGTTACTTCAAGCATGTTTTACAAATATACAGGTTTTCACTCAGCATAATTCCCCTGACATCCATCCAAGTTGTTGCATGTATCCATAGTTTGCCTTCTTTATTGCTGAGTATTCCACAGTATGGATGTACCACGTTTGTTTAACCATTCACCAGTTGAAAAAAATTTGGGCTGTTTCCAAGTTTTAGCTATTAATGTTACAGGTTTTTGTGTGATCCATAAGATTTCATTACTCTCGGATAAATATCCAGGAGTACAATTGCTGGGTCATACAGTAAGTGCATGTTTAGTTTTTGTGGCAACTGCCAATTGTTTTCCAGAGAGCTTAACTATTTCAAAATCCCACCTCCAGTGAATAATGATCCAGTTTCTCCATATCCTAACCAGCCTTAGTATTGTCACTATTTTTTTTCAACCATTCTGATAGGTATAATATGATAAGATAGTCTGATATCTCATTGTGGTTTTCCTCTTCATTTCTCCAATGGCTAATGATGTCGCACATGTTTTCATGTGCTTATTTCCATCTGTATATACTCTTCAAGAAATACCTGCTCATGTCTTTTGATAGGCTTTTGAGAGTTCACATCCATGTCTATCAATTACCCAATAACGTTCAGACCCTGCTCACAGCAATTCATCAATATGCATATATAGTTTTCCCAAGGAGTTATAACATACAACATAATAGCATTTTTGACACATCCTTCCTCACCAATTTAGAAGGGCAAAATAATACATGCTCACTATAAAAAAATTAAACTTGAAAGAACAGAAAATATGCATATTGCCAGAAGTCTCACAATATAGAGATAAGCACTGCTAATATTTAGTGAGCATACTTCTTGATTTCTTTCTGCACATAAATGCTCTACACACCTAAAAACTCATAGATTTTTATAAATAGTGGGATACTATTCTGCATCTTGCTTCTCATGAGCATATATTATTGACATCTTTCCACACTGGTATAGACTTTCATTATCATCTTAATGCCTGTATAGTAACGCATTACATGTGTATGTTTACTTAACCAGCTTCCCTATTAATGGATATTTAGATCATTTCCATTTCTTTTTGCTATTATAAACAATGCTTTAAATAATGTTCTTGGCTGGGCATGGTGGCTCATGCCTGTAATTCCAGCACTTTAGGAGGCCTAGGCGGGTGGATCACTTGAGGTCAGAAATTTGAGACCAGCCTGACCAACATGGTGAAAACCCATGTGTATTAAAAATACAAAAATTAGCCAGGTGTCGTGGCACCTACCTATAATTCCAGCAACTTGGAGGCTGAGACAGTAGAATCGCTTAAACCCTCCTGGGAGTGGAGGTTGCAGTGAGTCAAGACTGTATCACTGCACTCCAGCCAGGGTGACAAGAGTGAGACTCCATCTCAAAAAAAAAAAAGTTCCTGTGGGAATAGCTTTTTGGATTTTTATAATTATTTTCTTACGGTAAATTTGTAGAAGTGGGATTGCTGAGTCAGTCATATATACATGTACGTACATATGATATACATGTACATACACTGTATACATGTATATACGTATGTACTATGTCAGTTTGTAAATGTTTAGGAACTGCCTTTTAGAAAGATTGTGGAAATTTACACTTCCCCCTGCCCTGCTTAATTAGATTCTTTTTTTTTTTTTTTTTTTCTGAGATGGAGTTTGACTCTTGTTGCCCAGGTTGGAGTGCAATGGTGCGATCTTGGCTCACTGCAACCTCCACCTCTGGGGTTCAAGCAGTTCTCCTGCCTGGGAAAATAGCTGGGATTACAGGCGGGTGCCACCATGCCTAATTTTTTTTTTTTTTTTTTTTTTTTTCGTATACAAAGTAGAGATGAGGTTTTGCCATGTTGGCTAGGCTGGTCTCTGACTCCTGACCTCAGGTGATCTGCCCGCCTTGGCCTCCCAAAGTGCTGGGATTGCAGACCTGAGCCACTATGCCTGGCCTTAAGATTCTTATAAAGTTTTTACCTTTTTGTTTGCACTCCCCTTCCAGTGAATTTTTCTCTTTTTATAAGGATTGGAACACATAAGTCTAAAGAATTTTTTTTTCTCTGTGTCACCCGGAGTGGAGTACAGTGGCACCATTATAGTTCACTGCAGCTCCGAACTCCTGAGCTCAAGGGATCCTCTCTATCAACCTTCGAGTAGCTTGGGACTACAGGCAATGCACCACCATGCCAGGATCCAAATAACTTTTTACTGTTTACAATTTTTAAAGCATTAACTGAGACGGAGCACAGGACTCTGTCAGGTTAGATCAGTAAAAGTCCCATACTTATTAAGTGATCATCTTCTATACCTGTTCCTCCAGGACACCTTCTGGTAGCGTGATCGGCTTCAACGGCGCAACCGCTCCGCCCCGGGGGGCCGTTACGGACTCAGATCTGAGAGAAAGGGCGGGGGCGGAAAAAATCCTGTAGCTCCTGATTGGTGTCCCGTTGCCAGGCGATGAAGAGGAGGCGGGGCCAGCAGGAAATGGGAGCCAGGCTCTGCGCAAAAAGCGCACTCTCCAGAGCCGCGGCGGCGTAGCCGCCCGTTCTCCCGCTTACGGCGGCAAGCCCAGGTCTGCGCAGCGCTCCGCCTCCACCCGCGCGCTGACCTGTGCACGCGTGGTGCAAGCGACCGCCCCCTCCCCTGGCTGCGCTGGCGCTGGGGCTGCGCGTCCTACCAGTGGGGGCGCCGCTGCCGGAGCTGCCCCGGAGCCGGTGAACCGAACGGCCTCGAGGAAGGGGCGTGGGGAAGGCGGAGGGAGGAGGAGCGCACCGGCCGGCTGCCGTGCTCACCGCGGCTGAAGACCCTGGTTTTCGAGTCGGTGGTCGTGGACGTGTTGAACCGATTCTTGGGGGACTATGTGGTGGACCTGGACACGTCCCAGCTCTCTCTGGGCATCTGGAAAGGGAACGAGGCAGCCGCCGCTCCCCGGCCTCGCCTGCCTCCAGGCCGTCTCGCTGCCCGAGCCGGGTCCGGTGTTCTCGGGGCTTCGAGCACCTTGCTCGCCCGGAGCAGCCACCTGCCTCCGCCCGCCTCTGGGTCAAGTTACGTAAAGCCGGGCGGCAGTTCTTGGGCCTCCGCCCTTGAGTTGTTTATATTTTGGGGGGAAGGAGAGGGTCATGAGTGCGAGATGAAAAGGTCTGTTATTTTCCTAGCGGAGCGGCGGAAGGGCCCGGCGTTCAACTCCCGGCGAGGGGCCCTTCTTTACCCCTGGCGCCTCGCGGTCCGGCTTTAGCCGCGCGGGGCAACGCGGCGAGACGACGTGCTGCTGGGCTGGGTCCCATCCCTATCCTTTGCCCCCTTGGGGTTTTGACGAAGGCCCTAGAGAGCCCACGCGTGTCGCATGCTGCCTCGCACATGAAGGCAGGGCGGTGTGACCCGGACCGCTCGCTTTCTTGCTTCCCTAGCCTAGCCTCAGTTCCCAGCTAGACCCATGGTGCTTTCTGCGCTCCCCCTTCCGGCCCTAGGACCCGGACACCATCTCGCTCACCTGGGTTCGGCAGATAACAAAAAGGAAACTCACGTGCAGAGTAACTCAAACGGTTGCGTGCGTGCGTGTTAGAGTTTACAGCCTGACCCAGGAATGTGTCACATTTCAAGACTTTTGGATATGTGGGTCAGAGTAAACTGCTGAATTTTAAAGAAAAGCCAAGGCGTGCGGTGCAGTGTCTCAGACCTGCAAAAGATGGGGCTGAACCGGTCCTCACGCTGCCGAGGTGGTGACGGACCCAGCTTTCCTTCGGTGCGTTTAGTTTGGAGTTCTGCCTTATTGAGAACCTCATTTTTAGTGTTTCTGTTTTTGTATTATGCACTTGTTTATTTTAAACACCCGCTAGAAATTAGACTCCTTTATGAAATGAATTTCCCAGGCCAAAGTGAGAGTTAATTTTGTGTGTGCATAGTATGTATATTTAAATATATATTTAAAGTAATTTATTCTTGGCTATGCACACACTTCCAGCCTTCTTCTGAAATACTTCTCTTGACTCTTCTTGTTTATGAGATGATGTAAACAGGCAATTTAGTTTGATTTTAAAGAATGTTGCTACCGTGGGGAGCTAGTAAAATGATGGAGAGTGAGTGAACTACAAAAATCTAGGGACATAGATAGCTGTTTCAGCCTGTTTGATTAGTACTAGGAACTTGCAGACTGTTTTGTCTATGCTGCTTATCAGTTGCCAAGTGAAAATAATTTGGCTCCATCTACCTCAGAAGGAAGCCTTAAGAATACTTGAGGTGAACTTTGATCTGTAGTGGAACCTTGCTTCTACGTTCAGGGTGGAGGTTTGTCTAGAGTGATTAATCAACTTATTTTTTTATTTAAAATTTACATGCAATAAAATTCACCCTTGTGATACAGTTTTGTCTTGACAAATGCTAAGAGGCATGTATCCACCACCACAATAATGACACTAATAAAGTTTCATCAGGCACCCCGAATTCTCGCAGTTTTGTAGTTGACCTCACCCCGCCTCCTGGCAGCCAGTCATCAGTTTCCATCCCTTTAGTTTTATCTTTTCCAGAGTGCATATAAATGGAATTATATAGTATGTAGCCTTTTGGGTCTGACTTTAATTTATTCATATGTTGCATACATTAGTGAATTTCATTTCTGTATTTTTGAGTGGTATTTCATTCTGTGGATGGACTGTATGTTTGTTTGTTTTTGAGACAGAGTCTCATTCTGTCGCCCAGGCTGGAGTGCAGTGGCATGAACTTGGATCACTGTAACCTCTGCCCCCCCAGGTTCAAGTTATTCTCATGCCTCAGCCTCCCGGGTAGCTGGGACTACAGGCATGCCATCCTGCCTGGCTAATTGTTGTATTTTAGTAGAGATGGGGTTTTGTCACTTGGCCAGGCTGGTTTTGAACTCCTGACCTCAAGTGATCTGCCTGCCTCTGCCTCCCAAAGCCCTCCTGACTGTAAGTATTTATCTGTTTGCTAGTTGAAGGATGTTTCAATTTTTGGAGGTTATGAATAAAGCTGTCATAAACATTCATGTACAGGTGTTTGTGTGAACATAATTGTTATTTCTCTTGGATAAATACCTAAGAGTGAGATTGCAGGGTCATTTTAAATTGGGTTGTGTGGGTTTTTAAAAATTGAGATTAAATTCATATACCATAAATTTCACCCTTTTAAAATGTACAATTCAGTATTTTTTAGTGTAATCACGATATTGAGTATAGTGACAATCATCCCCACTATCTCATTCCAGAACACTTCAAAACCCCAACTTTAAACCTCATGCCCATTAGGAGTGACTCTCGATTTCCTCCCGCTTCTCCCTATTCCACCTCTGGCAACTAGTAATCTACTTTCTGTCTTTCTGGATTTGGTAATTCTGGAAATTTCATTTAAATGGAATTATATAATATGTGGCCTTTTGTTTCTGGCTTCTTTAACCTAATGTATTTTCAGGGTTCCTCCATGTTGAAGGATGTATGACTATTTCATTTGCTTTTATAGTTGAATAATATTCCATTGTATTCATAGACCACAGTTTGTTTATCCATACTCACCAGTTGTTGGGTGTTGAGATTATTCCTAAACATCAACTTTTGGATATTATGAATAATGCAACTGAATATTCATGAACAAGTTTTTTTTCTTGTGGATGTATGTTTTAAATTCTCTTGGATATATACGTACAAGTGAATTACTGGGTCATATGTTGACTCTTTGTGTAATCTTTTAAGGAACTGCCAAACTGTTTTCCAAAGTGTTTTCTTCTTGTTGCGTTTTGAGAGTAGTTTAAATATTAAGGATACAAGTTTATTTTTTAATTTTTTATTTGTTTGAGACGGAGTTTCACTCTTGTTACCCAGGCTGGAGTGCAATGACGCCATCTCGGCTCACTGCAACCTCCGCCTCCTAGGCCGAGGCAATTCTCCTGCCTCAGCCTCCTGAGTAGCTGGGATTACAGGAACACGCCACCATGCCCAGCTAAGTTTTTTTTGTATTTTTAGTAGAGACAGGGTTTCACCATGTTGACCAGGTCTCGATCTCCTGACCTCGTGATCTACCCGCCTCAGCCTCCCAAAGTGCTGGGATTACAGGCTTGAGCCACCATGCCCAGCAGGATACAAGTTTAAATATTAAGGATACAAGTTTTTCATCAGATATGTGATTTGAAAATATTTTCTTAGTCTTTTCCCACTTTGTCTTTTGTAGAGCATACATTTTTAATTTTAGGTAAAGCCCAGTTTATAAAATATTTCTTTTATGAATCATGGCTTTTGGTAATCATATCTAAGAAATCTTTTCCCAACCCAAAGTCAAACATGTTCTCCTACATTTTCTTTTAGAGATTTTGTAGTTTTAGGTTTTGAATCTCTTTTTGTGTAAGGTATGCGATACGTGTTGAAGGTCGAGTTTAATTTGTTTGCATGAGGATTCAGATACACAGTTGTTCAGCACTACTTGCTACAAAAGACTATTCTTTCTCAAATGAATTATCTTTGCACTTTGGAAACAAACAAACCAGTAGACTTAATATTGTGTGGGTTTAGTCTGTCCCATCAATCTGTGTGTCTGTCATTTCACCAATACTGCACTGCCTTGATGACTGTAGCTTTAGTTAGTCTAGAAAACAGGTAGTGTGACCCCTCTAACTTTAGGCTTTATCAAATAATTTAAAAAATAAGTCATTGTCCAGGTGTGATGCTCATCCCTATAATCCCAGTGCTTTGGAAGGCTGAGCGGGAAGATGGCTTGAGCATAGGAGTTTGAAATTACAGTGAGCTGTGATCATGCCACTTCATTCCAACCTGGGCAACAGACAGTGAGACCCTGTCTCAAAATAAAATAATGTGTCAGTGTTTTATTTATAGAAATTGGTTATATTTTGATAAATGAAACTTTAATAGGTGGAGTATTTTTAAAAAATATTCTTTCAGAATTTCAAAAGTAGTAACTTGATAAACTTAGAGGATATTTTTTAAAACATTGAAAATTTCTGTTATAGAAGTTAGATGGCCAGGCGAAGTGGCTCATGCCTGTTTTCCCAGCACTTAGGGAGACTGAGGAGGGCAGATCACTTGGAACCATTCTGGCCAACATGGTGAAACCTCATCTCTACTAAAAAAATAAGATAGAAAAATTAGTTGGGCATGAAGGCGCTTGCCTGTAATCCCAGCTACTCAGGAGACTGAGGCAGGAGACTCTCTTGAAGCTGGGCAGTGTAGGTTGTAGTAAGCCAAGATTGCACCACTGCCCTCTTGCCTGGGTGACAGAGCAAGACTTTGTCTCAAAAAAAAAAAAAAAAAAAAAAAAGAGGAAAGAATATGCTGCATAGAAAAATTTTAAGATAATATTTTATGGTCCAACGTGAAGGACCTATGTAAATGTGTGCTTTTGCTGGGCTTCTGTGTAATAATCCAGCAAATTTCAGTATTAGCATGTTAGTATAATATCAAATTAGTATTCAGTCATTACTAATAACGGATGGTGCTCTGAAAATTTGTTGCTGAGATGATTCTTTGGAGTTCTGAATGCATTTTCCTACTATGAATAAGGAGTTTTCCATAACCTGTTTAATTATAATGCAGCAGAAGAGTGCTACTGTCCTGGGTTCAATACAGTAAGCAGACTCAGTGCTAGAAGAATCTGTCTTTCAGGGAAGTAAAAAGGAATTGAGCTTCTTCCCAGAATTGACTCTTGGCAAATTTTGATGTTGGTAAGGTATACTTTTTAATACACTTCTATTTATAATTTTCCCTTCCCATGTATCATCTAGTTAGAGAGGTGGTAATGTTTCATAGACTCATCTGAAATTTATTCTTCTAACTTTCTCAGGCAATGTAGCATTTCGTGTATTTTCTTTTTCTTTTCTTTCTTTAAAATTTGAGATGGAGTCTTGCTTTGTCACCCTGGCTGGAATGCAGTGACACGGTTTCAGCTCACTGCAATTTCTGTCTTACGGCCTTAAGTGATTCTCCTGCCTCAGCCTCCTGAGTAGCAGGGATTACTGGTACCTGCCACCATGCCCGGCTAAGTTTTGCATTTTTAGTAGGGATAGGTTTCACCATGTCAACCAAGCTGATCTCAAACACCTGACCTCAAGTAATCCGCCTACTTTGGCCTCCCAAAGTGCTGCCATTACAGGCATGAGCCACTGTGCCCAACCATTTCACATGTTTAAGAGCTAGGCTGCATCAGAATCAGCCATAGGTGCTTGTTATGAATACAGATTTTTGAACCTGCCCCCAGAGATTATAGGACATCAAAATCTTTTTTGAAACAATTGACACCAGGGACTTAGATGCACAGTTGGGTACATTTTAAGAGAGCATTAGGCTGGAGGGGACTCAAGATGGCGCTGTGAGAACAACCCAGGATTGGAGCCCGCGTTGAATCCGCAAACGGTGAGTCAGTGCTGCATTTCCAGACTGATCTTTGTTGCCCACAGAACGGGGAAACTCCCAAGTATAAAAAGACACGGGACGCCAGGCAGTAGGTCTGCCTGGCGAAGCCGGCAGCCGGGGCGGCGGTGGCCGGCCCTACCCAGCAATCCCCACAGGGCGCACTTGTCCGGGTTCCTTGTTGAACCGGCAACCTGAGACTTGAGAGGGCTGGACTTGAGACTGAACAAGACTTGCACAGTAGCCCAACCCAGGGGATTGCAGGGACAGATCGTTTGGGATACCCAGTGGGACGAACAAAACCGCGATTTCAAACTATCCCAAGCAGACGGCCGAGACGCTCTGTGGGGGAGGGGCGTCCACCACTACCGAGGCAACC